GCCAGGTAGTTTCCCTTTTTCCCTGTTGAAGTGTCCAGTTTTCAGTACCAACCGATTTCCAGCCAAGAGGAAGCTCTTAGCTCGCAGGGTGATCACCGCTGTGTCACGACAAGGCAGTGTGGGCAGAAACAACATGCTATGTTGGTAATACATGTCAGTCACTAGCTCAGTGGAATACAAATAATTTTGAACCTATGAGGAGAAAGGATTCTCTGATGCAGGCCTCACACCAGGATCCAGTCCAATTTTATTTTTTTCCCTTTTGATGGTAATGCAGCATTAAGCAGAGAAGAAATGATGTCGTTGCCTGATGTATCTGTTCGTACTTAGAACAGGAAACAACTACAGCATACGGGAGCATCTCCTGAGTTTTAATTGCGACCAGAGTAAATGAAGTGAAGGGAAAGGCATCTACCAAAACGTGGACAGACAATGTAACTCCTGTGTCCATGATCTAAATAAATTTTAGTAGGAAAGAGTCAAACAATATCCAGCCTCCTGGCTGGAGTTGGCCACGGGAGCTCCGGTAGGAGCATTTGAGAGGAATATGTTGCAGCCCCTTGTTCAGCATCTTCTTGTACCTTCAGAGGTGCCGCAGGGCAGGTGCAGGTCTGGCCGCAGAGGGATCCCTGCAGGGCTCTCGGAGGCCAGGGCATGGCCAGAGAGCAGACCTATATGGCACGGTTTCAGGATTACAAAGCAAGAATCCTCTAGCGTAGCTCAGTGAATGTTTTGTACAAACTAAGGCATGTGCAGTTTTGACATATAGAAAGGTAGGAGTAATTCTTCTTCTCTTTGCATTTACATTTTCTTTTAAAGCATCGCCAAGTTTTGCTTGAAATCTTTTCGAAAAATTATCGAGTGCGCAGGAATGTCATCCAGAATCAGTTGAGTCAAGAATGTGGAGAAGATCTAAACAAGCAGGAGGTGGATAGAGTGTTAAAGGTAAGTTTCTGTGCCGTTGTGGGTTTGATCCAATTAATACATGAATTTTTAATGCTTGGTTTGAGCGAAGGATCGTATTTTACCTTGAATTCACAAGTGATAAGGATGATAGAACAATTGTTGTTGGAATGTGAAGAAAGCCTGTTTTTCAGCTTGTTTTCTTAAAAATACACTTGTCTCATTCTACCTTCTTTCCCTCCGAGGAGTAGTGATTGTGACTTACGCGTTATTTTGTTTTATGGCAACAAATCTGTATTTGTCATCTTGGACCAGCAGAGAACACAGTGCAGGAAACAGGATACTTCAGAGTTACTGTTAAATAACGTTGAGTTAAACCCTAAGGAGGTGGGAGGGTTCTGCACAGTGTCCTGGGTTTACCACCTGACTGCTCTTGGCTCATGCTGAGGAGCACCAGTGCCACCATTCAGAAGGAAACGTGTTTTTCATTCGGCAGTAGGACGTGCAGCAGTGTGCGGAACAAAACCCTAGCCAAAACAAGTAGGCAAAGCGGTAGTTAATTAACACTTTTACTTTTCGTTGTGAGTGTTTATTTGAATCCTTTCATCTCTGACTTTGAAGGTGCACCATTTACTTGCTAAAGGAGTTTAAGGTGTTGAGTAGGGACCACGCCGGCCAGGACTGACCAGCTTTACAGGCGATGCAGGATGGCCGAGTAAAAAGTTGCCAACTAACGCAATACCTGAGTGGCTGTTGCTGGGTCTTTGCTCGCTGTCGCCCTCTCCAATAAGACAAGTGCTTAAGTATTTTGTTACGTTGGGATCTGCAAATGGAAAAATGGCATATTTGAAAAATGACAGATCTGTTGCTGTGATAATAAACAAACTGGTCTTGCTTGAAAGAACCTGGTTGTCTTAGCATTGAAATAAGCTCAGGCATTTCTGCCTGCTAGGCAGTATTTCCTGTGGCTTGCCTGTGCTAGGAGATTTGTCAGGTGACCAGATGAGCTCAAATGGAACATCTAGACAATGCGCTGCCATTAGTTTTTCATGATGCTGATGCTATTTAACAGATAACCTATTTCTAGGAAAAATACCTTCCCCTGAAAAACTGGGTACTGTTTTTATATGAGTCACTATGTCATCATGCCACCAGCCTTGTGTCAGACTTCTTTGCCTTGAAGACATTTGTCACAGAACTATGTGAAATTATCTTTGTTTCTGAAATAAAATTCAGAAGTATGATTTAATAAAATAGGAAGATTCTCTGGCTGCTTTAAGCCCCAGGAGATCGCATTCCTCTTTGAATGAAATTGGATTTGTTGACTCCTATTTCCCCATCTCTGTGTGCTCCTTTTTTATTCCCAGAGGACCAGACTTGACGGATCAAATCTGCAAACCCTCTTTCTAGACTCCACACTTAATTTTTTACTTGTTTTTGCACTGTGTGAGTCTCAAGACTTCAGAAAAACAGATACTTTTTTCCCTTTTAAGCTCCACAGCATCAATCGTGTAGCAGTACTTTAGCCTCTGTGGAACTACCTAAACGGGAGGGTGGGAGCAAAAGAAAGAGAAGCCATTAGCTTAGAACTCAAGAGAGGTGGTGCTCATCTGATGGAAATAAGAACGAGCCTCCAGAAGGCCACTTACAGAGCGCTTTTGCTGCGGTGCTTACCTGCTGTAGTCTCGGCAGACGTGCGGTCAGAACAGCAAGGTGCAGTGCTGAGGGTTGACAGGTCGTTACCATAGAATGCCGCTTCTTAAAAGGCTTCTGATCTGGTGCCTGCCCGCTCGCTCCAGCCCACCCCACTGCTCCCTTCAGTCCCTGCACCTGAGCTGCAGCCTGCGCTCACCCCGCAGTTCCGCTTGTCCTCAGCCCTCCCGCAGCCCTGTGGAGCTGCCTCCTGCACCAGCCCCATCTTCTCCCCGAAAGCCTGCCTTCTTGCTGCCATCGTTTTGCTTGTCCTTCCTTCTCGTGTTCATCATCTCCAGTTAAGCTGCAAGGTTTGTTCCCAAGACCTTACAGACTTTCCCTTTCTCCCCAGGACTGCTGTGTGAGCTACGGTGGAATGTGGTATCTTAAGGGGACGGTGCAGTCTTGACAGCGGCGGTAGCAATTTCTTTACTTCAAGTGATCTCCAGGGTGCGAGAGGAACGGTGCGGCGGGCGGCACACAGCAATGCCGCGGCCTCAGGAGCACGGGGCAGGAGGGGCAGGGCCGCCCTTGCCGTCCCAGCACGCTCGCACACGTGTTTGCATGGCTGCCCGGGTGCACGAGCAGCCAGGAGGGCAACGTGGGACCCTGTCTGCAGCCTGATTAATCTGGGATTTCTAATGTATTTCAATTCTCGTTCTGTTTCGTTATAAAATAAAAATAAAACCGTATACTGACACAGACATGATAGGAAATCATGGTCTAATACTTTATTTTGTAAGTAATGCCAATAAATTACATTTGTTTACAAACATCCCAGTGTTTGTTAAATACCTGGGTGCTCGTAAGTCGCTCTGAGCAGGGCAGCCGCAGCCCTTGCAGCCCTCTGCAGACAGAGGAGTGGTGGGCAGGGAGGGAGCACGGCCGCTGTCCCTGAGCACTGCGGTACACTTCTTCGCGGGAC